TATTTATTTGATAGGAATCAGGCTAAAGACGCACAGAGAGTGAGGGGGGGGGGGGTCTCTGCTGGACAGGGGAGTCTATCAGATCTCAAGGCTAATTTTACTTGCAAGGCTGTTCCCAAAATGCAATCGGAGCTTACAGTAAGTATTGAGCAGCAAACTTGTGTTTTTCCAAAGTGATGAAGCTTTTGCATCTCATTGTACTAAGTTAAAGTGCATATCACGGCAGACATCTCAAAATACATAGTCTTCTGGGGGCTAAGCATATATTCATACATTTTGGTAGAGAGGAATATAGGCCTACTGTCATATAGGTTATGTTACCAGGCATCCTTCTAATTCCCTTGAACAACCAAGATTGAACTTTTGAACTCTTTATAATTTCTATTATCTAGTCCAGTTAAAGTCCAGGGGAGGAAGCCCCATCATAGTAAAGAGGATACTAATGTGATGTGTGTAGTTCTTCATAGCCTCTTCAATTTGCTCTCAAAGTGCACGGAATTGATGGATTTTTAACAGAATGTAGAAAAAAATTCTCCCAGGGGGGGTATGCCCCCGGACCCCCCTAAAGAGGCTGTGTTCCCCTTGGGGCTAAGCCCCCCTTGTTCTTGAAACCTAGTGACACCCCTGGCCACTGTCATCCCTTACCTCTTCCACAGACTCCTCATTTTCGTCACTGCTCTCTGTGATGTCGTCACCCTCGTCAAGGCCTTCATCCTCCTGCTCTTCATCCCCTTCTTCCTCATCTCCTTCCTCCTCTTCCTCATCACCTGACTCCCCTCCGTTGTCTTTGTGCTCAGACTTCTGCCTTTGGTCTTTGGATTTTCGCCTCCACAGTAAACTGTGACGCTGCTGGCTGGAGGGAAGAGCAACAAGATTTGAACATCGTTTGAAGCCCTTATTTCACAAAGTTGGACAGGGTGTCCAAATAGCCTGTTTACAATTTTCAAATTCTTTGTGAAAGCAAATGCATACAAAATTCATCAGGGTCAATGACGACAAAATGAGAAATTGATGCTTTTTTCCGTGACTCTTCCGGCTTTCCTGTGTCTGTGTGAAACAGTCCTTTTGATCGTATTGTTGACATTTTGACACCGTGAGACCAAGATGTCTCCTCACAATTAATCAACAGCACCTCAACTCAACGTTGCAAAACTACAAACAGGATGTTCTCAGAGGGAAGTGGCCAGTGAGCTTAGAGTGTCACAGAATGTCATCGTCAACGGCGATACAGAGGAACATCCTCGGAAATGGGGGGAAAAAAACAAAACGAAACAAAAAAACTGTTGTCAATTTTGCAGTTTAGCTCTGTAAGGGAACAGCAAGTTGTGCAAAAAGCACTCAAACACTGACAGCAAATGCCATCTGTTGCTCTTGTAATCTGTTTCTTTTACACTGTAAAGAGACTGTGGACACACCGTGCCCTACAATAGGTGACTTGAGAATGAGGCGACATTTCTGACCTGGCGTTGAGGATACCATTGTAGGTCTGCAGCTGCTTCATGAAGCCGTCGTTGGGTTTAACGATGGAGCGGCGATCCCTCACGTAGGCCATGGCAACGTCCAGCGACCAGCGCTGCTGCTTCATGGCGTAGGCGATCACGGTGGACGAGGAACGAGACACGCCCATCTTGCAGTGCACCAACACCGCCTGTCCGCTCTTCCTGTGGCGCACGGGTCAACAAATAAGTTGGCGACTTGAAAATTGTAGACAGCGGATTGTAGAACTTTTCCTTTTTTGACATGTATTTTTCTACATACTGTTTGTTGCCTTCTTGTTTCAATGCTCAAAAGTTATTTGTTGGCCAACGCACAGACACGGCAGTGTCGCTTCACAAAGCAGAGTTTGTGTTATCATATGCTGCGAACTACCTTGCAGTGTTGATAAAGTTGTACGTGTCGGTCCAGTGGGGGAGTAGGTCAGTGGCCTCCACGTCATACACTCTGATATTCATGTAGGTGAAGGACTCTGGGAAGAAGTTATCGATCTCCCTCGTCACATTCAGAATGTAGCCCACGCTGCGAAAAGACTGCACGCTCGGTGGCGAGAACGCAACTGGAGGAGACGGCAGAATACGGAGCTTCATAGAAAAAGAACTGACTTGTTTTTCTGCAGCTCTTCAAAGTTGGCCGCGTTCCATTCGGAGCCCTGAAAGCAGAGAAACAAAAAAATGTCAGTCTCATTGTGATCATTCGTACGTATGTATTGCTTCCAATTCAGATTTCCTCTAAAGAGCAGTGCTACCCAACTTTTACTGACCCCAAGGTAGAATAGTTTACCTTCCAAAAGTCTCATCTCAAAAAAAAGACTGAAATGCAAGGCGAGCACACATGCTATGTAATCATTGTCACACACAAACATGGCTCTCCACCGAAGCTCCTCTCCGAGTAGACGCGGCATTGTTCAGCGTCCGCGTCGTCTACTCGTCACCTCACCATTTCCGTTCATAGCCCGATCAGGGGAAGGAGCTTCGATGCTTAGTTTTTTTCAGTACAAGTGAAGCACATGACCGCAACGCACATATGATGTGTCAATGGTCATTTGTCGTGCAATTCGCATGAGTTCTGGCAGCCTGCGCTGCCTTCGTCATCAAGGCGAGAGACGCAAACAATCACACTTTGGCTGGCTCAGACAAGCAAAGTCAGAGCCCCCCACCCCCGACATTCCTGTAGATCAGATCAATTCTTACAAAAATGCAGAAAATTCTAGGTTTCAGTGTGTGACATCCCTGCATATAATACATGAGGAGCAGTTTTCCAACCAAGTCATACAGTAAGTAAAGTTAGCTATTTGTCACAGAAGATAAAGAATATACGCCCGTGAGTTCCGTTATACTGTCTGAATGAGCGTCATGTGACCAGTTCAATGAGAAGAGCCGAGCTGTGTGCCAAGTGCTCATGCCCTGTCTTGATGTTAATGCGTAGTGACGTCACCATATACACACTTTAAAATGTCAGCGTTTGTCTATGACGGGAGAACTTGTTTTAAAGTACTGGTGACTTGTTTTTCCATCAAGATTTTGCTTTAATAAAAGTGTTAAAAATACCACACTTTCTGTACTAAATAGACGAATGCAGGCCATCTTGATGAATCACATGACATTTGGGTCGATCTCAACATGTCACAGGGCTGTAACACAGTTGAAAACAGCAGATCGGAAAAGATCACGTCAAATCTAAACGCGCGACCAGAGATCTTCATTGGTAATGATTTCAATCTGAATGACCCAAAAAAGTCTCCATTCTAAACCCGGCTACCGTTTTGGAGGAAGAGCACCTTGATGTCTTTAACTCAGCAAAACAAAACGAAGGCTTCTTGGTACCGTTTCAAAATAAAAGCACTGACTCACCAGGTAAAGGTAGTCAAAAATCTTTGATGGTTTGTCCATCTGAGCCATGGTAACCAGAATCTCATTGTCAATGTACTCCTTGAACGGCCTCATGTCGAAGCCGATTCGCGTCTTCAGGGCCGTGTGGACCTACAGCGGAGGGGGAAAGCCTATTAAGACCACTCTCAGTATTCTTCCTTTTCTCCTTCTGCCCCTTTCAACTCCTACCATTTTGGACGTGAGGTTATCCAGGTCTTCTGTCCTCATGATGTCTCTCAGGTGCTCCTTGATCAGCCTCTCTTTAGAGGTTCGGTCTGCATTACTGGACATGAAACACAAAGAGTCCCTTAGTTGGGGCATTTCATCAGATCCAGATTGAGCATACGTGTATTTGGGGGTGGATGCATGTCAATTCTCAACAGAATGTAAGACTGAATTTCTTCCTCTTCCAGGAGTAATTCCGCCATCGTTACTTCTGACCGTCGCTGTCCTTCCTGACCGACTCCAAGTCATTCATGGCCTCCCACTCGTTGAGGCATAAGCGGTCCGACTCGACGTGCTGGTGGTAGTGCTGGGCCCACTCCAGGCCGCAGCCCGGGATCACGGCACCTTTGACGGCCCGCTCGCAACAGCCGTGCAAAGACTGCAGCACTGACCTTGATGTAGGGGGGAAAAAAAAAAAGAATGGCTTTTATGGCTGTAAGACTCTCAGGGGGTCCAGTTTCGGTGTGCAAGTAATTTGGATTTCTTCAGATCTGAATTATGCCTTGAACAAACACTCCCCTCCCCCAAAGTATTGGAACAGTCAACTTCTTTGTTTTTGTTGTACACTAAATACTGCATGAGACAAGAGATCAACATTTCAGCTTTTATTTCGAAATCATTCCATCTGGATTGAATACCCAATTTACAGTAAAAGATGGCATCTTTTGGGCAAAACAACTCTAAATTGTCCACACATCCTATAAATAGTTGGGGGAAAAAACCCTGATGTGTTGATTCCACTAATCATCATTTGATGTCAAACCCAAATGTTTTCAGCGTAGAGTAAAATTTACCTCATGTTTACCAGAGGTGGGCATTCCGTCAGTACTGAAGGAGAGTCCATCAGTTGGCGGATGACGGGAAATAATTAAAAAAAAAAAAAAATCGAGCCACCCGGTCATGGACCTTTTGTTGTAATTCCCACAATTCATTACCTGATTTGGATGCAAGTATCCTCAAATTAAATCTGAAAGTCTGCAGATAAAGTACCTCTTTTTTTGTCTAATTTCAAATCCATTGTGGTTGTGTTCTGAGCCAAAAAGATGAGAATCACGACTAGTAAAATTCAAGCCACCGCTCAGAAATGAATGTACTATCAAATGGAGAATAAAATGGCTGATGGTTGTCAGTGGAGCAACGTAGAGGTAATCTGACTTTTACATCTATGGGGGAAGAGTTAGTCCTGACTCCAGGCCAAACACGCTGATACGGAAAGTTAAGAAACAAAAATCAACTTTAATGTTGCTATTGGATGTTTTTACTTCTGTTTCTATCAATGGTGTGTAGTTGATCAACTGTAATTTGCCTTGCGTGTGCATACAGGCGGGCAACATCTGGTGTTTAACAAACATAAGCGCAGTGATGTCAGATATCGGTCAGTGAAAGGAACATGTAAATAGATCAAGTATACACTGTAAACACTAAATCGTGTTTGTGCAGGCCCTCTCCCAAATTTCAAAAGCAGGTATGTTCACTGAAGTCTAAATGTGAGTGTGATTGGCTGTTTTGTACGCTCCCTGAGATCGACTGGCAACCGGTCCAGGGTGTACATTGCCTCTCGTCAAAAGTCAGCAGGAATAGGTCCCCCTCTTAGCTGTGACTGAACAGCATAACCGGTCGGAATAGAATGGATGGACACGCGGTGTAAATCCAGCCTATGGATTGATGGGAAGCATTCAATTTGTGTGTTTTGTGTTGACATTCGGACTCACCACATGGTCTGCATGGAAACCGGTTTAAAAATTCTTGTTTCTTCTGCTGATGTGACACTGAAACCGCTGTAAAGTGGGAAGAGAAAGAAAGATCAAGACAAAGAAAGATAGAGTGCGACTACCGGGGAAAAGGGAAGCGACACTGACAAAATACAATCAAGAGGCTGGCCCAAAAGGAGGGTGAATGTATTTGGCGTCGATAACTGGTGAGAAGCGTTAGGAGTGAACAGAGTGTGCAGAGAGGAACGTGTCAAATCGCTAATTGGCACAGTTGGGGTGCGCGAGTCAACATGATGAGAGTTGAGTCTCCTCTCAGCAGACCAGCAGATGTGTGGTAAAACGCCTTGTGCGACACCGCATGTGGCAGAACACAGCAGTGGTGTCACTCAGGGCATTTTCATGCACTTCAAGCGCATCATCAACCTCACAGTTGGCGCCAAATGATTTCACATGAAAGGACCGCGAGGCTTATGTAAGAGCTCGAGTAAGCGATAGGAGCAGTTACAATTCATGGGAAATGATTCAGCTCCATAAATAGCAACGGTCCTTGTTCATATCTTCTCTGGCCAGAAACTCAGTGGTCGGCACTGCGTCTGTGCTGCATATTTTTGCCATTTTCAGTTAATCCCTTATCCAGTCGACTGATACTCCCTCAAGGGAGTTTTATTTTCACCGGTATGTGTTCTTGTTGACAGTATTGTGTGAGTTTGAAATCTTTGTTTAAAGTTGGCAATGTGTATGTTAAAAATCCACCCATCATAAAAATAATTACAATTTAAAATCGCCCATTCTATTTTTATACCATAATTAAACCAAGACTCCCGCACGTACCCGTCTCCATCCAAATACACTTGCGTGTCGCTCCAGACGGGCAGAACCAAGCCAATGGTGCACTCATCACTGAAAACAAGCAGATGGCCAAAATGCGCTGATGAAGCGATTTGCGAATGTCTGTCAACTTTCTCTCACTGTTGGCCGCACACACCTGTCCTGTTTGGGGAAATCCATGCCAAGCAGGATGGTCTCGTCTTTGTTAGCGAGAGTAGAGACAATGATGAGATACCTGATTCGAACCGAACTGATGGACTCCAGCTGCACGGCCTGCACAGAGCAAGGACGAAGATAAAGTGGCGCAGTTTGTTGCATCTAAATCAATCGCCTAATAAACCCGAGTCAGATTTCACACATTTTTGTTTGAACAAATCCCGTAGCACTCTGTGACTGCATAGTCAAGCAAAACCAAGCAATTTATGGTCACATTGGAGTATGGCCGTGCAATGTAGATTTACACGATATCATATTTTAAAGGACATCCGTGTGCTTTTATCCTCTTCATATTTCTCTTTCGTATGAACAACAACCATGAGCTCTATTTCAGATTTAATCAGAGCCAATGCGAGAAAGGCATCAAACACTGCACCTCTAAAGCGATAACAATGCTATGTGGACTGACACGATCAGACAACTAGTATATCCAGTATAACAGAATCGTCGCATTAGCATCAACAAAATATTGAAAACAATTATTGGCATGAGGCAGTACAGACTTACACCAAGGTAACAAACACCGAATTAAACAGATGCCTCGATGTCAGTGTGAATAACAAGTGATGAACATTGTTAAATTTGCAAGGACGGGATTCAGGGGGAGTTCTGGAACGAAAACAAAAGTTGCATAGTGGTTTTCATTCATGACGGGTTTCAAGCTCATGTGACTGCACGTGTGCAGAAGCAACTTCAGGCTATCCCTCAAGTTGACAAGAGATTCATTGTAAAACAACCCATACAACACATTTCTCATGCGACAGACAGCATTTTTTTTGGGGGGGGATACTGGATCAATACATGTGTAAATATGAGCCCTCACCAGCTTGATACTATCTTCTGGTCGAAGCAGCTCAACCATGGCGTGAATGTGTCTGTGACGCTTGTCTGAAGCACAGTCTTCTTGTTTCTGGGGAAGCAAAGTCTCCTCGTGAGGCTCCTCTCTCTGGGCCTCTTCCAGCAGGAGCACCGCTCCCTTCACGAGGGCAAAGCTCTCCCTGATGACCAACAAGACTCATTATGTATTCTGGAGGCTCACAATGGCTGAAGTTTGTGTAATGGAAACAATCTGATGTGGTATCAACGTACCTTTTCTGAAATCGTCCTCTTTTTTGGGTGGTTTCATCCTTAAAAGATCAAATAAATTATGAGAAGAACACTTAAAGAAGGGGCACAAGGTTAAAAAGCCAGTGTGATATTTTGACATCAGTGTAGCAAGGCTAGCTTTATTCGGAAATACTCTATAATGGGGCATGTTTGCTCTAAATTGGGGAGAGAAAAAAAGGACGCCTTGTCATTCTGAAGTGGTCTTTTCCAATTCAAAGCCCTTTAAAATGACATTTTAACAGACTTGAAGACTGTCCAAATTTGGTAAATAGCTTGGGGGTGGGGGGAGGGGGACTGTTTTGTCATTTTGAGGGTGAAATGTGGTACAATACTGATAAGGTGCAGTGGAAGTCTGAAGTGAGGAGACAGACAGAGATGGTGACAAATCAGCAAGGCGAGGTATATAGGGTGTTTGGGATGGATAAAAAACCTGCCAGCTGAATGAAATGGCAAAAAAACAGAGAGCCATTTATAACTAAACTTATTAAAGGGTATTCAGGAGAAAGGAAATATGACACAGCGACATTACCTTTTACGCAACTGACAAGTCCAGACAGTCAAGAAGCAAAATTTAAAAAAACAAAAAACAAAAATTAAGTGAAGGACTGGGCAGGAGCTACGGGAAAAGAACGATGGGTAATTGGAAGAGAAGAAGGAAAAGGAAAAAAGAAGAAAAGTTAAGATAGCACGATGATTAGCATCTATGATAAAATATGCAGAAATGACACCTGGACTGCGGCTTACTTGATGACACAAATCGCCTCTGGCTGTGAAGAGGAATTGTATTTGTTTAAAGCTGGATGAACGCAGGAAGATGAGATGGTAATGAGGCAAAAGCTGATGACACAGCAAGCGTTGAGACAGACAGGAAGTGAGACGATTGCACCATCTCTGCTCTAATGAATATGATTCAGCTTTGATGAAGTCACAAAATATCTGTGGAATGTTTGCTCCCTAAACCGATGTGATCCGATGAAAACAAAACATTGTCACTGCACTAATATGGTGTTCTGTTGTCCTGGGGCAGATTGATGTTGGTGTTCTGAATGCATCTTTCTATACTGGTAAAGCGGAGCTTCGTGTGAAGGCATGACACAAAATGACTCGCTTGACCGACTACTGCAAGGCATGGGCATGACTCACGGGAGCAGCGCTGATGGAGGGGAGCCTGTGCAGAGTCAACAGAGCCATTGTACGGTGCAGGTGTCGCTCCACTCAACGTGTTGCTGGGCTGCTGCTGGCAAGCTCAGACAAGTTCGGCAGGTTTCTCGAGCCAAAGGCGTGCAGGCACAGACACCCGTACAATCTCTCCTGTGGAAAGACAAACGTGTGACTACATCCTTTAAATGAAGAATAAATCGGGAGATCCTAAATAATGAATAATTTCTCTTTCATCATGGTTTGGGCAATGGAATAAATATGCATTCATTATATTATCATATTTTATTGCACGGGATGTACGATTGAGAAATTGTGGATATTATAGAAGACAAGTGCAACTGACATAAGTGCTTGATTTTAACCTTAAGGAAAGACTAATACATAATAAAGATAGCCACTTGCTTAAGGTATTAATGAAAGCTCGAAGACAGAATCTGTGTAAGGTAGACCCACCAAACCAGGATCAATGGATGGCAAATGTAGAGGAAATATATATATATATATATATATAGGAGAAGATGACATTTTACACGAGAATTCAAGAGGTAGAGGAAGAAATAAAACAGGAAAATGGACTGAAAGAATTCAATGATTGACACAAGGAATTAACACCAAATAAATATTCAAGAAAATGACTCCCCTGTAAAATAAAATTCAGAAGATTGTGAGTTTATCAAACAGATTATCAAACACTTTTCAACTACTTTGTTATCTCGATCCGATGAATATGATAAGAAATCAGGGCCGATCACGTGATGGATTCTTCAATGTTCTTAATTTCTAAAGTCACAAATAACATATTCCAGTTCTTTACTTGATTTGAACTACTGCTGATTTACAGCCATTAAAAAAGTAAAACATAAGGTAATACAGACAATTTAGATGTCGTCTTCTTTTTCTTCTGCATTGCATTGCATTGCATTGCAGAGATATTGGATAGGGAGTCGGTATCGGCAAATCAAGTTACGTGGATTCAGACTTGGATGCAAAAAAAGGTGATCGAAACATCCTTATATTTGACAATTGATTAGTTGTCAATTAATCGTTTCTGTGCAATGGTTTCACAAAAACAGCAATAAAACTATACAAGGAAAAAGTTATGCCTGTTTTAAAACGTTAGACATTCCCATCAGTAACTTCACATCAAATAATCAAAAACGAATATTTGCAGAGTTGATCTTAAAAATTGTTTTCGATATTATACAATTGATCCGTAGTAATAAACACTACACACATATTAATAGCCTTAATATGTGCTTAAAAAAGAACAAAGAGTTTCTAGAAGAAAAAAAAACTACTACCAGACATCATAAGCATGAAAAATTACGTTTAGATCTGTTTGTTCCCGACTGACTGGCTATTTCCAAACACTGCAAACCTTGTTTATGTTAGCCTGTTGCAGCTAGCGGTAGCTCATGTGTCAAATGCGCAGCTCTGTCAACTAAAAAAAAGGAGAAAAACGTGAGGAAAAAAAGGCAAACATCTTACGTTTACAAGACGCAGTCCCAGGGCCTATTTTCGTCTGATGTACAAAAAGTGCCAAACTCGAGGAGGAGCGGGAGGAGGACGCTTATAGTGGTTGTTTTCTCGACTACAGTCGTGTGCAACGAAATGTGCGTATGACTCTACGCACATTACGTTCGTAAACAACCATGTGAATACTATAGGGTTACACAAACTTCGCCTCAGTATTTCATGCTACTGTCATCAGCTAGCAAATTTTCAAATAATTAAATACGAGTAATACGACAAATGATATACATGAACATAACCCTGTGTATAGTGAATCGGAATTTAATCTAACCTGTTGAAACAAATCGCTTTCAAGATTTTACGAAAGGGGTGGTTATCACTTCCGGGTGCCGCGTATGCAGTTTTTTGTGCCTGTCAGGAAGAGCCGTCGTTCAAGGTTAATAATTAATCAGCCGAAGTTGTACAGTACCTAATGAGTGACTTAATTCACATTTCTGGTTGAGCAGGATGAAAGCAGTGAAGAAATTTATGAAGGTGATGGTGTCCAGCCAGCTCCCGCCTGAGGGGATGAAGATTCTGTCAGCGTCTGGAGTGTATGCATAATTTTAATGCCTTACTTACATATACACAATGTGGTACCCTTTCAGTTCCAAACAATTCACTGTAATTACTTACACTTCCGATGACGTGCACGAAACAATCTGCGTGACTGGCCCAAATTGCAGTTTATTTGAGTAAATTTATGTTTTCACCTTGGGTTCGCATGGAAACAGGTGTGATTTGTGTCAGTGGGACTCAGACGTGTCACGAGCAGAATTACTCAAAGCTGTGCAGGGGTCCCACGGTCTCCTGTGTCTGCTGACAGATAAAATCGATGCTGAGGTTCTAGATGCTGCAGGTACTTTTATTTTGATCGAAGTTACCCCACTCACTGCATTGAACCAATGTTTTGCTCTACCAAATGTCAGTCCTGGAACATTCTGAAAAAATGCAACCAAATATTAAGGGAAATGCCATACTGTCACTCCCAGGACATTGAATCGACCACAACTTGGGTGTTGTAGTTGTCTTGGAATTTGAGGGCATGCCTCCAACAATAGTTGGGCTTTCCACACCAATGCAGGCTGGTCTAGTCCTACCCAAACCTTGTTGCATGAACTGATGAAGTTGTCACAGATCAGAGGCCAAACTTCTTCTAAGACAACCTGAACCGTCCAGTTGTGATCGATTCAGTGCCCTAAGAATGGAATGATCTGGATAAAGGAGACTATTCTCAAGCACACTGTCACTGCCCCTCCTTTGTGTAATACAGGTGAACATCAAAAAGTGAAAATAAGTTCTAAGATCCTGACCTTTCTTCAACCCCCCCATGAAATTCCATAGAAATTGGTTGTAAAACTTTCCATACTCTTAATAATACCCCTCACTTTCCCAATTTAATCCTTGAGGTAATCATCTGATGGTGAATAAAGAAGGTACAGTATTTGTCAGAAATGTTCTAGGACTTGTGTCTCAAAAGATACAGGATGTCTCAAACGTCACTATCCACTTCCTTGTTTCTATTTCATTACAGATATCATTCGGACAGATGTGAAACCATCAGCATGTGAGAGCTTGGCCTTTGAGGTGTCAATTGGGGAGCCATGGGCTTGTAAAAACTGCAAAGCCTTGGCTGTTAAGTGCTGATGGACTCATCTTTCGGCACAAAACATTCAATGAAAGAGGAATAGTATCGTGACTTTTGGGGCACCCTGTATGTTTGAAATAACAAGCTATTCGTTATGTTCCAAATCACAGGACCCAACCTTGTATGTTTGAAATACCAAGCCACTTATGATGTTCTGAATCACAGGACCCAATCTGAAAGTAATCAGCACCTTTTCCGTGGGATACGACCACCTGGCTCTTGATGAAATAAAGAAACGGTCAGAAATGACATCGACAAAACAATCTGTCTGCACACAAGAGGAAACTTTTTGAGATTGTATTTTGCTTGTTTTCAACAGCGGCATACGTGTCGGCTACACTCCCGACGTCCTAACTGACGCTACAGCTGAACTGACTGTTGCCCTTCTCCTGGCCACAGCTCGCAGATTACCTGAAGCGATGGAAGAAGTCAAAAAGTCTGTCCTACGAACTTACACATTCACTTTAGAGTTTTGCAGTCGTGTCTAAAGTAATCATACAATGTCAAGTAGAAGTGCAAATACTTGCGTTAAAAAAAAAAGAAAGAAAAAAGATGGTTAAAGCAGAAACATTGATTTAACTGCTTAAACACAAGTAAAAAAAAAGGTCTAGAGTTCAAAAGTAAAAAGAAATTTATCAACTACACAGTACCTGTTTTGATAACTTAACAATGGAAAAAAAATGAACACATTCCTAACACATTGTGTTAACGTTGGAGCAGAATTGCCTTAATGTCGCTCACTCACCAAACGATGTCTCACAGTGGCGGCTGGAGGTCCGGGACAACACTCTGGATGTGTGGATACGGTCTTTCGGGTAGCACGGTGGGAGTCATTGGACTGGGACGCATCGGTGAGGCTTCCTTTCTTCCATTACTTAACATCTATGTTTGAACGACGACTATCATTCAGTTTGGACGATGACCTGTAGGTTACGTGACAGTATTTGTCAGAAATGTTCTAGGACTTGTGTCTCAAAAGATACAGGATGTCTCAAACGTCACTATCCACTTCCTTGTTTCTATTTCATTACAGATATCATTCGGACAGATGTGAAACCATCAGCATGTGAGAGCTTGGCCTTTGAGGTGTCAATTGGGGAGCCATGGGCTTGTAAAAACTGCAAAGCCTTGGCTGTTAAGTGCTGATGGACTCATCTTTCGGCACAAAACATTCAATGAAAGAGGAATAGTATCGTGACTTTTGGGGCACCCTGTATGTTTGAAATAACAAGCTATTCGTTATGTTCCAAATCACAGGACCCAACCTTGTATGTTTGAAATACCAAGCCACTTATGATGTTCTGAATCACAGGACCCAATCTGAAAGTAATCAGCACCTTTTCCGTGGGATACGACCACCTGGCTCTTGATGAAATAAAGAAACGGTCAGAAATGACATCGACAAAACAATCTGTCTGCACACAAGAGGAAACTTTTTGAGATTGTATTTTGCTTGTTTTCAACAGCGGCATACGTGTCGGCTACACTCCCGACGTCCTAACTGACGCTACAGCTGAACTGACTGTTGCCCTTCTCCTGGCCACAGCTCGCAGATTACCTGAAGCGATGGAAGAAGTCAAAAAGTCTGTCCTACGAACTTACACATTCACTTTAGAGTTTTGCAGTCGTGTCTAAAGTAATCATACAATGTCAAGTAGAAGTGCAAATACTTGCGTTAAAAAAAAAAGAAAGAAAAAAGATGGTTAAAGCAGAAACATTGATTTAACTGCTTAAACACAAGTAAAAAAAAAGGTCTAGAGTTCAAAAGTAAAAAGAAATTTATCAACTACACAGTACCTGTTTTGATAACTTAACAATGGAAAAAAAATGAACACATTCCTAACACATTGTGTTAACGTTGGAGCAGAATTGCCTTAATGTCGCTCACTCACCAAACGATGTCTCACAGTGGCGGCTGGAGGTCCGGGACAACACTCTGGATGTGTGGATACGGTCTTTCGGGTAGCACGGTGGGAGTCATTGGACTGGGACGCATCGGTGAGGCTTCCTTTCTTCCATTACTTAACATCTATGTTTGAACGACGACTATCATTCAGTTTGGACGATGACCTGTAGGTTACGTGATCATTTGTGCTCAGGGATGGCGATTGCTCGGCGCCTCATGCCATTTGGAGTGAAACGGCTTCTCTACTTTGGGAGAACAGCCAAAGCTGACGCTGCTGAGCTCAATGGAGAATTTGGTTAGGAAACAAATGAAGCCTAAACACGAAAAAGGTTGAGGGCAGAGCCGGGGGATTCCGTACTGGTTGTTTTTGCGCGCAATTTACACACCAAAAAAAAAGATGTCTGTGTGGGACATAAACTAAGTTGCTGCTTTTGTCCTTTTGCTTATTTGTCGCAGTTCCTCTGGACACACTTTTGACTGAGAGTGACTTCATTGTCGTTGCGTGCTCACTGACGCCAGAGACCCAGGGAATGTGTGACAAGGCCTTCTTCAGCAAGATGAAAAACACTGCTGTCTTCATCAACACAAGCAGGTAGCGTCCAACGAAATGACAAGTATTTTGAGCATTACAGACAATGAAATCTCTAGTCAAATGCATCTGAGGTTGTATAAATTGTCATTTGATTTAGAAAAACATAATCATGGCTGCAAAAATACCTCTAAACTCTGACGGAATTTCAGAGTTTGAGCTGCTGTCCTGCAAGAGCTTTCATTTTTTTCTTTTCTTTTGTTTCCCATTGCAACCCATTTTGCAAAAGGACAGAGTGCCGTTGTCGATCATGTTGTGTGCCTCACGTGAGCAAGTTAAGTCAATTTGAAAGGATTTTCTCTGAATGAATTGACTTTCTTTTTTGGCCTATTGTGGCTTTTTTTGGTTTTTTTTTTTTTTTTTTTTTTTTTTTTGCAATGTTAATTTTAAAAGTAGGACCAACTTCAGCAGGTATGTTAAGAACACAATGTGAAAAGAGTGTAAGCCAGAAATTTTGTGATAATTTACATGCCGAGTAGTATACAACATCCAGAATCCCACTTGGAACTCAGTCATTCCAATTAAAAGTCAACGAAACATGGCTGACAACTTTGCTAAGTGTGTCGTTTATTGTTAGAGCTACATTGTCATCAATTCGGCTGATTAGATGTGCGGACAAAAGACCTTATTTTTTTTTGTATACATTGCTGCGAAATGCAATTTGCCCCTTTCCTGATTTGTGTGTGCTTTGCATATCTACCACACACAAAGGTTTCAGTTCATCAAACCGCTAATAATATCACACAGAGACTAGCCAAGGAAATACAAAATGCCAAGTCAAAAGTCTGGATTTGAATCCACTTGAGATGCTGTGCATTTTAAAATAAATGTCCAAATTCAACAAGGATTCAAAATCTGCAATCACTTAGAAGATTGGTGCATATTTTAGTAACTTGCCCTGTTGACCAATAATTTGATCTTGAAATTAACCTTGTGGATCACGTGACCGAAACAACATTTTTCGGGAATTGTCATCTCTGACGTTCTCGAAAACATAAAGGTTTCAGTGATGTATCTTTTTTTTTTTCAGCAAAAAGAAGTCAAAGTATCCATACCATCAGGCTTTCAATGAATATTCAACTTTTATTGAATATTTCATCAATATTTGAAACCATTCAACAAATTCCATCTTGAAACTTGTGTCTTGAGTATAGTTCAGCAGATGTGTCATTTGTGCTGTGCTGTATATTGTCATAGAGATTCACAACAATTGTTGACATTTGACACTCAAGGGGGGCTGTCGTGAACCAGGAGGATCTGTATGAGGCTCTGACCAGTGGAGAAATTGCTGCTGCCGGCCTGGATGTAACAACACCTGAGCCACTACCGACAAACCACCCGCTTCTCACACTCAAAAACTGTGGTGAGTACAGAAGCGTTAAAATGAGATCTGTTTACGTCTGCTTCCCATTTCGATCAAATTGTCTTTTTACCCCATGTCTCGCTTTCCACAGTGGTTTTGCCGCACATCGGCAGCGCCACCTACTCCACAAGAGGCGTCATGGCTTCCTTGGCAGCCCAAAACCTGCTGGGAGGTTTACAGGGCACACAAATGCCCAGTGAACTCATCTTCTAGAACCTAGAAAGGACTGGCCACCATCATCATGCCGCTGCAGTTCAGATGGCACCGTGAAGTCATTTTGTAACATCAATTGGAGACCAGAGTGAATTGACATTGAATTGCACTAGTTCCAAAATTACATTTTTGTTCCAACGCCACTAACAGCACTTGCTACTCTTTGAAGCATTTCAACATGTCCTACTCTAAGAATCATTGATTAGCGATCTGGCTTTTTCTAAATGAAGTAATTCCCATGATGCAACGCTCTCTACATTGAATGTGAACTTCAATTCCAATTGGTAGTGTACAATAGTTCATTTTCTTGAGAATAAATAATTCCATTTAGTTTGCATTTAAACCTTCTCGCGTCCATTGCACTTACTTCATGCTTCATTGTCAGTGAATTCAGAGGCATGAATTACAATGCAGTAAAGGTGAGAGCGTTAACCACAAAAGAACTTCAAGAATTTGGCGGGGCCAAACTGCTGTGCAGTCAATGCAGAGTGTCTTGTAATGAACTCTTGGCCTTCCAGTTCAAGCAGGTGGAGTTTTTCGAGTGCTTGTACAGATGTGATGACTGGCTGAAGCGTTTCCCACACTTGAGACAAGGATAAGGCTTTTCTCCTGTGTGGACGCGGATATGCTTCTTACAGTCCGCCAAATTCGTGAATGTCTTTGAGCAGATTTTGCAAGCATACTTCTTGTCTCCTTCCACAAGAAGCACGTTGACTTCAGCCGCTGCTTTCTTGCACTTGGACAACACGTCCTCAGAAGCTCTTGTTAAAGGCGCTTTATCGGGCCCAGCTGATCCAGATGCTGCTGAGTGATCCGTCTCGGATACTGGCACCGCTTTGGGGGCGATGCGACGGAAGGTCGTTCCGTTTGATCCTGCTTGTCCCTTGGAGGGCTTCGAATGCTCCAGGCTGAGGAATCCCGATAGGGAGTTGTGCGCAGGCTGCAGGATGAGCGTGTCGCGAAAAGGAGGAGCCTGAGTAGGGAGAAGCTGTTGCAAAGGGAGTGAAGTTACCGGGAAAACGAGAGAAGACGCATTTGAGTTTTGACACTGTTGGTCCGCACCATCTGCAGCAGCATCGCTGGCAGCAGCCGCTGCATTTTAGTAACTTGCCCTGTTGACCAATAATTTGATCTTGAAATTAACCTTGTGGATCACGTGACCGAAACAACATTTTTCGGGAATTGTCATCTCTGACGTTCTCGAAAACATAAAGGTTTCAGTGATGTATCTTTTTTTTTTTCAGCAAAAAGAAGTCAAAGTATCCATACCATCAGGCTTTCAATGAATATTCAACTTTTATTGAATATTTCATCAATATTTGAAACCATTCAACAAATTCCATCTTGAAACTTGTGTCTTGAGTATAGTTCAGCAGATGTGTCATTTGTGCTGTGCTGTATATTGTCATAGAGATTCACAACAATTGTTGACATTTGACACTCAAGGGGGGCTGTCGTGAACCAGGAGGATCTGTATGAGGCTCTGACCAGTGGAGAAATTGCTGCTGCCGGCCTGGATGTAACAACACCTGAGCCACTACCGACAAACCACCCGCTTCTCACACTCAAAAACTGTGGTGAGTACAGAAGCGTTAAAATGAGATCTGTTTACGTCTGCTTCCCATTTCGATCAAATTGTCTTTTTACCCCATGTCTCGCTTTCCACAGTGGTTTTGCCGCACATCGGCAGCGCCACCTACTCCACAAGAGGCGTCATGGCTTCCTTGGCAGCCCAAAACCTGCTGGGAGGTTTACAGGGCACACAAATGCCCAGTGAACTCATCTTCTAGAACCTAGAAAGGACTGGCCACCATCATCATGCCGCTGCAGTTCAGATGGCACCGTGAAGTCATTTTGTAACATCAATTGGAGACCAGAGTGAATTGACATTGAATTGCACTAGTTCCAAAATTACATTTTTGTTCCAACGCCACTAACAGCACTTGCTACTCTTTGAAGCATTTCAACATGTCCTACTCTAAGAATCATTGATTAGCGATCTGGCTTTTTCTAAATGAAGTAATTCCCATGATGCAACGCTCTCTACATTGAATGTGAACTTCAATTCCAATTGGTAGTGTACAATAGTTCATTTTCTTGAGAATAAATAATTCCATTTAGTTTGCATTTAAACCTTCTCGCGTCCATTGCACTTACTTCATGCTTCATTGTCAGTGAATTCAGAGGCATGAATTACAATGCAGTAAAGGTGAGAGCGTTAACCACAAAAGAACTTCAAGAATTTGGCGGGGCCAAACTGCTGTGCAGTCAATGCAGAGTGTCTTGTAATGAACTCTTGGCCTTCCAGTTCAAGCAGGTGGAGTTTTTCGAGTGCTTGTACAGATGTGATGACTGGCTGAAGCGTTTCCCACACTTGAGACAAGGATAAGGCTTTTCTCCTGTGTGGACGCGGATATGCTTCTTACAGTCCGCCAAATTCGTGAATGTCTTTGAGCAGATTTTGCAAGCATACTTCTTGTCTCCTTCCACAAGAAGCACGTTGACTTCAGCCGCTGCTTTCTTGCACTTGGACAACACGTCCTCAGAAGCTCTTGTTAAAGGCGCTTTATCGGGCCCAGCTGATCCAGATGCTGCTGAGTGATCCGTCTCGGATACTGGCACCGCTTTGGGGGCGATGCGACGGAAGGTCGTTCCGTTTGATCCTGCTTGTCCCTTGGAGGGCTTCGAATGCTCCAGGCTGAGGAATCCCGATAGGGAGTTGTGCGCAGGCTGCAGGATGAGCGTGTCGCGAAAAGGAGGAGCCTGAGTAGGGAGAAGCTGTTGCAAAGGGAGTGAAGTTACCGGGAAAACGAGAGAAGACGCATTTGAGTTTTGACACTGTTGGTCCGCACCATCTGCAGCAGCATCGCTGGCAGCAGCCGCTGCGGTGGCAGCTGCCGTCAGACTCGCGAGACTCGCTTCTTCCTCCAGAGCGCCTATTTCGCTGTCTTGACCAGGATTCAGGAAGCAGGAAAGGGCCAGTTCAGAAAGGCTGTCAACAGCTTCATCCTCGTGGAGATCACCGCACTCTTTTTCAGGAAGAGCTGAGCAAAGCTGGGATTGTAAACAGCTAACAAGTCCATCTGCGCTTCTTATTTTGTCATCATGGACTTCAGATGAGTCCTGTAGAGGCGTTGATGGCGAAAGATCAGGAGAGGAGGAGGTCATGCTTTCTTTTTTAATCTTCACTGTCTCCACCTTGAGACCGCCTTCATCTTTGACAAAAGTCTCTCCACCTGCGCTGCTGTCTGACTGACTCGGCACCTGGATCTCCTCTGAGTCAGCCATAGAGAAGACATATTTTTCCTCTACCTCATTCAATTGGTCCTCGCAGATGTTTACTGTCATCTTTAAGTAGTCCGGAGAGAGCAGCTCCTCTCCTTGCTCCTCGTTGTTGGCTGTGCTTCGGGTGACTGTTGGAGAACTTTCTTCATCTCCAGACACCCTGCGGGTCCTCTTTCTGTCATTCAGCCTGTCCTCATGTGACTTTCTCTTGTGCTCTGAGGAATCTTCCCCCGACTGGCTCACCTCTACGCCCTCCACATCAAGTAGCTCCACACATGTGAGCTGGGTTTGAGAGGACGGATGCTCCCGCCGCTGCACTGAGCGCCAGCCTTTAGGCGCCGTGGCCGGGAAATTTTTTCTGGCCAGGTAGAGCTTACAGGCCTTGACCACGGAATTGAGGTGGAGGTACGAGGCGGCCAGCAGCACATCCATCACGTTGGAGGCCTCGAGCGACAAAGTGGATGTGTAGATCATATCCAGCAGGGTGGAGAAGGCCTCTGGGGTCACCACCTCCGGGTCGAGTGCCATCAAACCGGGACCTCTAACTTTATCAACACTTTGTCCATAAGCATCGTCAGTACCGTTACTGGAGCTGTTGAGAGCCTTGAAGTGGGAGCTGCATGCTGCCAGGATGGCGCGGTGTGCGTGAAATTTGTGGCCTCCCACCTCCACTATACAGTCACACATTTGACCATGGAGCCGCTGGAGGTTCAGCTGCTGGAAAATGTGCTGGAAGTGACCTGGAAAATCCATATTACAGTGTTCCCTCACGATATCGCAGATTTTTATTTAAAGTTTTTTTGTTTTGTTTTATGTGTTTTTACAGTGTACAGACTAGTCTAAGTTGAGAGTTAGGCACTTTCAGTTTAGTACCACGTGCTGTAAGAGACTAAGAAAAACTGAGATGTAGTGAAGGAAATGCAGTGTCAATAAAATAATGAAGAGGCAGAGAAGCTAAAATATAAGATACCAGTAATAGTTGTTTCTACAGAGCTGATATATGCCAATTATTATTGGTGTATGCTCTGTTTTTGTGTTGCTGCTACCTGTACATGTGTGTTAAAATAGCTTTTGCTTGAAGATTTGTAATTACCCTAACGTTGGTGTTAATTTCCATTAGCCCATCTATGGCATTTTGCATTGTTCGCATAAAGCAAGAAGACTTTTTTGAGCAAATTATATGGCTTTATCGAACAATTTGGTGTTTATATATATGATGACAAATTCTCTTTTATTGCCTACTCTTAGAATGTGTTCCTGCTCCGTGTTTTTAAACTTTTAGTTGTTAGGTCGTATATTATTGGCATAACATCAATGTTAGTTTCTGTTAGCCCGTGTGTAGAGTTTCATGTTATGCATTAAGCTTTCCTTGGACATACTGTTATGTTTTGGTTGAAGATTTTAGTGTATAAATGTCTGATTCTCTTTTATTTTGGGTGTCGGTTTTTACAGTAAGCCAACTGAGTGACAATTGTGAGCGTGTGAGAACAGGCGCTTGGTAAAGAGTGTTTTAATACATTACATTTAAGTGTGTGGGAAGAGTAAAAGGGGCCCTTACATAAATGTTTACCTATTGCGATTGGCACTTAAATGCATTCCTCGCATAAACGTGGTTACAGGTACACTGTATGCTAACGTGTACGGGGATGCTACTGGCGTTCTAACAGGTGAACATTTCTGAAATGTGTGCTGAAATGGCATCAGAGTAACTCCATTCTGACCTCTGGCTCTCAGTCACGTCAGACGCGGACGTTCATTGTCTGCATCCGAGGCTCAAGCAGATGCTCTTTGTGGGGGAGATGCAGGGCTTCAAAGCCGATCGATACGCTTCTCAAGACATAGATCCGAAATCAATCGTTGTTTATTCTCGCTGCACGAAACGAGATCCAGGAATGCCGAGGAGGATTAATGGTTTGTCGGACAGTGTGCGAACGAAGCATTCTCTGACCATCCGACATGCGACGAAACCGGCATATTAATGCAACATTACCACCAACTGGTTATCTTGTGAAAACGCAACAAACGATCACCGGAACCATCGCACGAGAACATGTCTTCCCACACGGACTGTTATTGCAGACACAAACCTTGGCATCAATTTGCAGCGATGGCTGATACCCAAGAAACCGTCCGTAAAAAACAGAAAATGTCCAAAGTTTGGGATCATTTCAGACTTAAACAATACAACATAGTGCAATGTGACCACTGCCATGCAGAACTGGCGTTCCACAGCAGCACTTCTACAATGATTTCGCATTTGAACCGAAAGCACCCGGTCGTCGTTTCTAGCTCAACAAGCTTCGATGACACAAGGTAAGGTAAACATTCATGTTATCTATTTTACTGTCATCTACGATCGCAAATTAGCACGTAGAGTCTCTATAACGGCCGCAATCTGATCTCGTTATGACTCTATTATGCTCAAATCAATCCAATATCTGATACTGATCAGCTTATCCCTTCAAGGGTCGCGGGCGTGCAGGAGCCTATCCAAACTGTCTTCGGGCAGTAGGCGGGATACAGCCGAAATGGTTGCCAGCCAATCACAGGGCACACATAGAGAAGCAACCATTTACACCTAAGGACAATTTACAGTGACCAATTAACAATTAGCCTACCGTGCATGTTTTTGAATGTGGGACGTAATCTTTTTACCCGGAGAAAACCCATGTAGGCATGGGGAGAACATGCAACTCCACACAGGAAGGCATGAGCCTGGAATCGAACCCATGAACTCTGCACTGTGAGGGACATGCCTAACCAGTCGTCCAACGTGCCGCCACATGCTTCGATGTAGAAACAAATTTGCGGGAACTTATGTAAGTTTTAAATCAAAAGTGGCTGTCAGAACTGTTGTGTGTGCAAGTGTTTTGTGTGTGTGTGTGTGTGTGTGTGTGTGTGTGTGTGTGTGTTAACTAAAAAGATTCATTCACTTGTCATGACACTGGAAACCATTTTGCAATTTTGGGGTGGCCGTGGTATGTAGTTTTGGTGAAAACGGTTTAACCCTCTCTCCTTCTGTTCTCTGTTCCACTGTAATAACACTGCTTTGTTTCCTCACAACCTTGCCAAAAATGCTTTAATTTTCTAATTGTTTGTGTTGGTCAAATGGGTAAGTCCCCCCCTTATTAGTAATGGCAGATGCATAAATGTATATTTCCGGTACGATGTTTACTTGGCTAGTTTAACATCACAGCATTTCTTATGCATATCAATAATTTTATCCCCCCTTCCCCCAGCACATCACTTGGTCGCCCAGTTCCATCATGCTCTGTTAAAGAAGCTGCCTTGCTGACAGAGAGCATTTTGGACATGCTTGTCACTGATATGCGCCCATTATCCATGGTGGAGGACAAAGGATTTAGGAAGATGATTTCAACTTTCAACCCCAAGTACATCATACCGTCAATAACTTATTTCACAAATATCATGGAGAAGAGGCACCAGGAAATGACAGAGAAATTGAAAAATGTCCTCCAGGACACGGAGTGTGTTGTACTGACTACAGACATCTGGACTAGTGTGGCCACAGAGGCCTATCTCGGGGTGACCTGTCACTTCTTGGGGGAAGATTGGGAGATGAAGTCCCTCTACCTCACAACGATGCGTCTTGAAGAGAGGCACATGGCTGTCGACATTGCGGACTGGCTTGAGGAGACCGTTGCCAAGTTTCATATTCCATTGCTAAAGGTGAAGGCAGTCGTCCATGACAACGAGGCTAATGTAGTGGGTGCGGCAGGAATTTTGGAGGAGAGGCACGGCTGGGCTACAGTGATATGCTCAGGGCATACTCTGAATTTAGTTGTTCAGAGCACGCTGAAAAATAAGGAAAGCATTACTAATTGTGTGGATTCGGCGAGATGCCTAGTTGAGCATTTTAAGAGAAGTGAATTAGCTTGTACCAAACTGAAAGAAAAGCAGCAACAAATGGGAATGCCGCCACTGATGTTGATCCAGGATGTAAGTAGCCGGTGGAATAGTACATATCACATGCTGTCCAGGCTTCTCGGACAACGATGGCCTGTGACCGCAGCGCTTTCCGATCCCGCAGTCACCAAACGGCACTACCTGGATCTAGATCCGGAGCAGTGGAACCTGAGTGAGGAGCTGACTCAGATCCTCGGACCATTTGAAGGCGCAACAGAGTTTCTGAGCGGGGAGCAATTTGTTACTCTCTCTGCTCTTCCACAGCTGGTGCACAACCTTAAGAAGTCAATACTGAGTTCAGCATTTAAAACTGCATCTGTCAGAGCCTTCCAGGCTCAAGTGACAGAACAGATCACAGAGAGATGGCAAAAACTGTTTTTATTTCAACCCGAAGCTCCCAACACTGTCCTCCTGGCTGCTGCTTTGGACCCAAGGTTTAGAAAACTGAAGTTCTTGCCTGCTGAAGATGTGTTTAAGGTCCAGTGTACAATCCAGTCCATGGCACTCGCTGTTAAAAAGGAAGCAAGACAGTTAAATCAAAGCAGGGGTGAAGCCACGGCCAAAACCAAAGACCGTTTAGGTACAAAATATGGATCTTTGCTCAAAAGTATCCTGGGATCATCATCAGACTCCAGCAGCAGTGAGGAAGAGGAGGATGAGGATGAGCAGCTTAGTCAAGCGGTGCAGAAGGAAGTCTTGCAGTATTTTGGAGAACAGCCAATCTCCAAGAAGGAGAATCCACTGCCATGGTGGAGATCAAACGCATTACGATATCCAACCTTGGCAAAGCTGGCCAAGTCCTTTTTGGCTATCCCAGCGACATCGACACCCTCCGAGCGATTGTTCTCTGCTGGGAACATCGCCTCAAAGCGGAGAGCGAGCCTCGGTTTTGAGCAAGTCGATATGTTGACTTTTCTCCATTGTAATCATATGCTCTTGTAAAGCCTTGCATTTGCACAAACCCATCACCACACACAGACACACAATCCTACCTACCTCATCTATGTACCTATCAAAGTTTGTTTGGTGATCGAAACATCAATATGCCTAAATGGCCTGGAATTCTAGTTTTTACAAATGAGTTTTAAATTTGAATGGTACAAGATATCTCAATATTTTTATTTACGTTTTTATCATTGTTACAGATCCCAAATTTTTTGTATTGACTCTCCTGAAACTTTTTAGATGTCACAAATGCTTTGCTTAATCACCAATTCTTTAAATGTTTTAAATTGCTCGTCAATTGACACTGTATACTGTATTGCATTTTTTAAACATGTTTTATAAAAAGGTGTTCAAAAATCCGTCTTCAATGTGGCAGTCAAAAAAAAAGTTTGCTGCCCCAGTTTTAGAAACCCTTTGACTTATTGAATTTTTCTGTATTATTCAAATATATTGACATGCATATACAGTATAAGCCACTGGCGCTTCAGAAATTAAACATTTCTAATACTTGTCTATGACAACAGTACCATCCCCGATTTTTACTGTGCTACATGAAATTGAGAGGAGCTTCACATGGGAGAAACAAAATACACTGGTCAACAGCACATTTTAATCAGAGATGGTTTTGTATCCCTAATTGCTTTTTTAACGCTATTGCAAACATGGCTTTACATTTTTTTCAGGCACATCAGGTTTCTGAAAGATTTTTTTTTTTTTCCTTTTTAAGTTTCACCTATAAAAGCTTGCGCAGTATGGATTTTAACATGCATTGACATTTATAGCTGTGATGTTTCAGGAAAAAAAAATCCACCTTTGGCTGAACCCAACCCTTCATTCATAAATACTACTAATTATATATATTATAACAACCTGGTATGGTAGTAAAAAAACAAAACTAAGGGCCAATTCGGAATCATGCATCTCTGACAAAAATATTTTAGTAAAACAAAATAACTAACCATATTAAACAAACACGACCGTGTCAACACTGAACACACATGACACCAGGTAATTCTAAACAACATTTAATCCAACATGCTGGTTTTTAATAACAGAGGCCATTCGTGCTATTGCATCAGCACAATCAGTATGTTTCACTCGCAAACTCCAGGGATGAAGGAACACAATGAAATTGAATGTTTTGCAAGTCGCACAGCTGGACAGATGCTGGCCAACCGCCACATATCGCGTTCCACAAAGCCTCTGACATCCTTGGCATGGAAAGAAGACGCCCCTCTCATATACTGTCCAGCTGCTTTAATACAAATGGAGCTGTGAATAAAGAAAGATTTTTGATTAGTCCGCAACACAATTTTGAGTTATAATTGTGATCGGCACTCATAGCTATTTTACAAACATGACACATTCTCTCAGGTCTCAATCATCCATAATGACGCCATTCATTTGCAGCCATCAATCAGATCACCACAAGACAGACTTGTTAGTATTTGACCTATTTTTTTTCTTTTACAGTATTTTGCGATCTTCACAAACTTAACATGTTTAGAGTCTTTAATAATAATTATGAAAAGATCTTTAAATAAAAGGACATTGTTTCTCACTATTTAGCGACATTCCAATGTCACCTGTGTGTACTCACTGGCTCTCAGGAGAGCGACGTAAATGAGAAAGTTTCGTAAAGAAGAGACGACGTCTTGTCGCATTTTCTTCTTCATTTCTTCTGGGTCCATCTTAGGCCCGAGACCTTCCAGTTTGAACATTATAGCAGTGGATTAAATGAATTTGGTTCTCCGTTTCGCTTTCAACGCGAATTTACGCCGTTTCAGGAGCATGGAACAAACTGTGACACCACGACCCGGAAATAAGCGCCGGAAGTAGTTTGTCGAGTATGGCGTCCTCGGAGAGACAAACTGTTAGGAGACTGTAAAAAAAAAAAGGGGGGGGGGAGCGAAACGACGTAGTCGTGGTATGTAATTGGAGGAATTAAAATACAAATGCAACCCGTAAATTTTAAAGTACTTGGTAATACACAACACAGCATTCGCATCTATTACAGAGCTCCAACAAACACTGACGAGGAAATTGAATGCCTTTTAAATGCTGCAACCCACTAAATTACTATTATTAGTTGTAGTAGTGGTAGTAGTAGTAGTAGTAGTAGTAGTAGTAGTAGTAGTAATTGTCATAGCAAGGTGATCACTACGAGGCTGCAGAGGTAAACAAATAGCATCTCAATTCAAAATGTGTTGTTTTCGTTTAACACGAGGAAATGCAGCAGTCCGCTACAAATTAAATCGATTGATATGCATACTAGTAAAATACATTCTATTGAGGATTTTTTTAGACCATGATTTCTTTGGTCTAAAAAGTCTGGAACATTTGTTTGATGGTACAGTTTTGTAATGGGCTATTGGGATAACACGCATGTTATAATATGATAATAAAATGGTCTGCCTGCCCCCTTTTACCTCCGACGTTGTTTTTGAAGGATTATACATGCAGAAAAAAACAACACTGGACACCTACATTCACATTGCGAAAAAAATCGTAAAACGTGGAAAATAAACAACAATCATTCTGAAAACTATCGAGAAACCATCTGCGTTTTGTGACGTATTTCACTGATGCCGATGTATGTCGCTCTCTGACCTTGCAAAGGGAGGGGCGGGGGTCCAGTGGGCAGACAACGGAGAAGATGGGGGTGCGGGGTGGGGGAGGGATGGGTTACATGAGCGAGAGGGTGGGTGGGTCTATTTCTGAGCCCAGGGCCGAGGATTAAAGAGAGAAGCAGTCCCGGCACGATGACAGCATCCCGCACATAGACAGCACCCCACCACCACCCCACCATCATCCTCATCCGGGATCACGCCACGGATTTTTCGGGGGAGAGACAATCGCTGTTTGTGTTCACGTTCTCCGCATCGCCCCTCCATAGACTCCCGGTCTGCGCGCCTCCTCTTGAAAACCACGAGGTGAGTGAACAATATCTACGCACCGAGGCGCCCGATCGCTCGCCTTCCTCGCACCTTGCGTTCATTCCTGTCTTTTTCGTTTGAGATTTCTCGGCCGAATGAATAATTCAAATGACAGCGGTCCACGCAGCCCCCGGACTGCACCCGCGTTCCCATTTGAGTGAGGCGATGGATATTTAAATCCGATTAAGAATGTATATGGATCCAACAAAAGACTGACCTTTTCCCTTTGTTTAGTCTCTTGATTTGCGTGGCTGTTGAAACAGAATGTGACCATAGGGTAAGGGTGGATGCATTCCGGAGGCATTAGGAGCAGTGTGTGACCACATGTACTGTATATTCACATATAGACATGGGCATTTTGAATAAATATGGTTAAACCATTCAGCCTCCTGTTAGCTGAGATATTGAGGACCCATTCTGAATGCACAGTGAAAGCTCAATTGAATCTTGTGATTCATGATTATCCAAGGAGTGCAGCTAGTGAAGCACATATTATGAATGGGCGTAGGCGACTGGCAGTGCCTTGGGACAGTCATCTTTTTTTCTTTCCCTGTCCTCATGCCCTGTGGCCAGAAGCAGGAGCCTTCTTCTTCTTCTGCTGCTGCAAGCCATGACAACACCACTAGACCGGGCCAGTGCATTTCGGTGTTCTGGAGCTTTTATTTAATACACAACATGGTTTTAACATAATCTCAGGTCACACTTTCATGAACATATCTCTGCTTTGGAGGCAGCAACGTCACACATATTTAAAAAATGACTTTTACTTTTTTAATCCACATCAGGTTTTTGTGATATTTTCATTTAAAAAAATGTTTTTTTGTTTGTTTTAAAGTTTGACCGATGAAAGCTTGTGGCAATGGATTTTACCATGCATTGTAATTTATAGCTATGACGTTTCAGGAAAAAAAAATCTGCCCGTTGCCGAACCTAATCCTTAATTCACAAATATTACAGCGACCCCTGTGAGGATAAACAGTTCAGATAATGGATGGATATTACAGTACTATATTAGGCTTACATGTTATATTACTAGTATGGTATTATTATTAATATTATTATGAAAACAATGATGCTCACAAAAAAACGGGCTGATTTTGCGCAAAAAAAATCTAGAAAAGTTTACTTGCCTCTCTGATTAAAAAAATGTAGTAAACATTTGTTGACAAGGGTTATCTAACAGAGTCACTGATGGTGTAGTGGTACACTCGCCTGACTTGTGAACGGGCAGCGTGGGATCAGTTCCCACTCAGTGAAGCTGTAGATGTGGGTGCAAATGGTTGTTTGTCCCACAATATGTGCCCTGCGACTGAATGGCGACGAGTTCAGGGTGTCGTCCGCCTTTCGCCTGAAGTTAACTGGGATATGTTTCAGCACCCCCGTGACACTGTTCTCAAGCGGTGTTGAAAATCTAACAGGTGAATCATCTCAACACTTTTACTATAATTGATAAGAACATGAATCAAAATTTACCATCGTTTACTTTTTGAACCGCTGTGCATAACTCTACTTATTCTCTTCTGCATCCTTCTCGACTGAAACTGACAGTAGTATTGCAGCTGGCAGTAGTGTCTGGTTTTGGCAGTCTCAAACTTGAGTCTTAAACTGGACAGTAATTTTTAAATTGGACTGGCAAATTAGTGCTTCTTTCATTTTAAACAGCTGGCTAAAGTAAAGCCTCTCCTTTCTCAAGAGCACTTTGAAACAGTAATTCATGACTTGGTCACATCTCGGTTAGATTACTGTTTTACTGTAATTTATTTGTTTATTGTTTGTTGTATGAATTATTTTTGCTCCATGAACAGCACTTTGTATACAGCGGTGGTTGTTTTAAAGTGCTCTATAAATACATTTGAATTGAGTTGAGTTTTAATCAGGATTCGGCTAAAATATGTCTTCTTCAACTATATTTATGTTCCTTATTAATACCCAAACCTCAAATTGTTAAATTCCTGGTTTATTCCCATGATTTCTTCGTTTTCGAAGAAATTTTTTCAAACGAATCGAAACGTTCTTTTCCATAGAACGTTTTTAAACTGTTCTCATTTCCCAAATTTTGCATCCCTACTCTTGCGATGTGTAGAAAAAAAGTGGATCTTCTGTGTTTGGTTTAGGTGCATGCTCTGGCCCTGCTGCAGGCGGCGTGTAGTGACTCAGGGATGTATATGTTATCCCATGTGATGGGACGTGCATGCTCTGGGCGCTTGCTGCCAGTGGAGATTCACAAGGGGCAGATCTCACACATCAGGAAAGTCTTGATGCCTGCCTGCATTAGGCTCCGACTGCCTCGCTGACTGCTCCACTGTCCCACTTACTGCAGCCAGTCTGGCCGACCATGCCTTTCAGCTCTACTGAGTGTCTTCAGGGCAGTTACTGGGTTGGTATTCTCAGCCAACCGGTAACTTACTTGAGTCTTGATGTTGTTGCTGTAGGCTGTTGACTCGTTCATCGTGTAAATTAGGGCTACAAAATATCGTCATCGCGATAATGGCACGTTCAATATGCGGATCGCAAAGACGTGCAATAAATTCATACAATCGTATGAAAATGCGTGATCTTATCTGACTTTGGCCAATCAGATGCAACCTTAAATTGCCAACCAATCAGAGAACAGTATCTCCGGGCAGTATAATGCGAAAAATACTTCAACACTTTAATAGACCATAAAAAATAGCATAGTTTTAACCCTCCGTCATCCTTTCAAAACATTTCACCTTCTTCAAACACCTTTTAAAGTATTCCAAAGCATCCGTTCTCACTCTCGCTTTGTTGTTTTAGTCACTCATTTGAAGTTTACTGTAAAACTACCACAAAACAACTGACACAAACCTCAACAAACTATTTTATAAACACCGAAATATTTGACCAAACCATATAATTTCAAGAGAAGAGAAATTAATTTTTTTTTGAAAAACACTCGCAGGCCCTAACAGAAATTAGCGTAGATGTTACTGTAATTATTAACAATCAAACAACTGCGACTTTTAAACACACAAAGCAGCAAAACATACAAACAGACCATCCATCAATATTTACAGTATTATATATTATATTCTCTCTGCTCTGTGGGAACAATGTCTAAAACTGGAGCTTACTCACGCTACATCTTTTGCAGTGTTTCCTGGCATTTTCCGGCAAATTGTGGTACCACACTGAAGGCTCACAGCTTCAAATGTGGACTCACCTGTCCGCTATGAAACCAACGGAGGGAAAAAAAATGTCACACACTCCAAAATCTTGTCAAAAGGCTTTTCAGGCGAGAGGAAGCTGCCATTACATGTGCTGTAGGTCTCTGACATTTTAGGACATAGTGTACAGTCAGTAGTGTTTCCTGGTTGCTTGGATGGATGATGGTCGTATAGGAGGAGAAGTAGGGTACAAAACATAATAATAACAGACCATACACTATGTTGAAGAGGAAAAGGAGACGTGACCTCATTGATGTGACAGCTCCATGGTGATGGCACAGTTGACTGGCAGCGGTGCCACAATGTAGGCCAATTCTATTTAGGAAAATATCGGACAAACAGTTATTAGAATGGAACAGCTAAGACTCTTTGTTTAGCTTATGGAGATCTCCCTCCCTTTTTATTTCAATTGGAATATTGAACCCTTTCAAATCTGTAGCCTGATAACATGGTAAGCTGTCCACTGTAGTCACCGCTGTCCCTGAAAGGGTCATTATGAATACTTTGAAAAATGCGTCTACAGGACCCAACATGACATTTCGGCACAAGAAGTCACACTTTTCATTTTATTGTTTTATATTTTAGGCCTGTAAGTGTTTTTTTTTTTTTTTTTTTTTTTTGTAATTATGGCTTTACTAGGTTGTTTAGGTAGGTTAGTGATGGACTCTGGACTGTGTACAAATTCAAGTTACCCTGGATTGG